ACAGAAGTGAATACTGGAATATCTTTTTTTCTTTTTTTTTTTTTTTTTTTTTGGTTTTTCGAGACAGGGTTTCTCTGCGTAGCTTTGCGCCTGTCCTGGAACTCACTTGGTAGCCCAGGCTGGCCTCGAACTCACAGAGATCCGCCTGGCTCTGCCTCCCGAGTGCTGGGATTAAAGGCGTGCGCCACCACTGCCCGGCCTGGAATATTTTTTGGGTAATGGGAAATAGTCACGTTGATTTTACTGGACATAGAAAATTGTTCTACTACTACCTGCAGTGTAGGAGAATTCTGATTGTTTCCTATGCTCCTTTGTGAGGTTTGGGGAGAAAACCTCAGAGACCCTCACATACGATAAGCAAGAGCTCTACCACTGAGCTATATCCCTAGCACCCTGTTCCATATCCTTCCTGTCAGTGTGGTATCAAATCATCATTCTCAGGCTGGCAAGATGGTTCAGCTGATAAAGGTGGTTTGCCACCAAATCTAACAACCTGAGCTTGATCCTGGGAGCTTACATGGTAAATAAAAGGAGAGAATTAACTACCCTAAATTGTCCACTGACCTTCACATGCTTAATATGACAAACATGTACACCCATGTGTACACATACATAAATAAATGATAAACATAAAAAAACTCAAACTATTGCTCACATCTGTAATCCCAGCTCTTTTTTTTTTTTTAGAAATTTATTTATTTATTATGTTTACAGTATTCTATTTGCATGTATTCCTGCATGCCGAAGAGGGCACCAGATCTCATTACAGATGGTTGTGAGTCACCATGTGGTTGCTGGGAATTGAACTCAGGACCTCTGGAAGAACAGCCAGTGCTCTTAACCTCTGAGCCATCTCTCCAGCCCAATCCTAGCTCTTGACAAGTGGAAGCAGGACAATCAAGAGCTCAAGGAAAGCCTTGCCCACCTGAGAATGCCATCAACAAACAACAAAACCAACCCCTAAATAATCTCTCGAACACCATAAAATTGCATTCTTATTCAGTGCTGGCATGTCATCAACCCAAAAGTTAAATGCACACAATGTTTAGATCTAGCAATCTGACTAAAAGAAATCTGTATAGTCCAGACAAAAACTTGTCCCATCCAGTACTAACCTTGGAATCAGAGCTTTGGACTCCTCAGCAGTCTCTGGACAAAGATTGGCTAAACAGGCCAACTCAAACTTATGTAGCTTTTTCTGGAGAAGCAAGCTGATTGTAGGGAAAATAAAAATACAGAAAGACAAACAATACAGTGTGAGTGAAACAAGAGCAGTAATGGGGAGAAATGAGTACGATCAAAATAAATTCTACACCTGTATAAAAATGTCAGTGTGACCCCCCACACCCCCCAGAGAAGGTTTCTCTGTGTAGCCCTGGCTGTCTTGGAACTCAATAGATAAGGCTGGGCACAAATTCAGAGTGCTTGCCTCTGCCTCCCGAGTGTTGGGATTAAAAAGCTGCCCCACCACCACCTGGCTAGGAACCACTTTTTACCCACTGAGCCATTTCACTGGCTCCATTTTTGTTTGTGTTTTTATTTTGTTTTTCTGGGACAGGATTTCATGGTTAGCTTTGCAGCCTGTCCTAGAATTCGCTCCGTAGACCAGGCTGGCCTCAAACTCGGAGATCATCCTGCCTCTGCCTCCCAAGTGCTGGGATTAAAGGTGTGTGTCACCTTTGTGTTTTTAAGACAGGGTCTCAAGGACTCAAAGTTTTGAACCCACTATGCAGCTAAGGGTGACCTTGAACTCCCTGATCCTACTGCCTCTACCTCTCATAAGAATCTATAATAGCCGGGCGGTGGTGGCGCATGCCTTTAATCCCAGCACTCGGGAGGCAGAGCCAGGGGGATCTCTGTGAGTTCGAGGCCAGCCTGGTCTCCAAAGTGAGTTCCAGGAAAGGCGCAAAGCTACACAGAGAAACCCTGTCTCGAAAAACCAAAAAAAAAAAAAAAAAAAGAATCTATAATAATAAAACTTTAGGTAGGGCTGGAGAGCCGGCTCAGCAGTTAAGAGCACTGGCTGCTCTTCCAGAGGACCTGAGTTCTGAGTCCCAGCACCTATATGGTGGCTCACAAACTGCCTGTAATTCCAGTCCTGGGGATCTGATAACCACTTCTGGCCTCTGTGGGCAGTGCATGGTGCACAGACATACAAGCTGACAAAACACTCCTAGCACTGAGCTGGGTGTTATGTGATAACACACGCCTTTGGTCCCATTACTTGGGAGGCAGAAGCAGGCAGATCTCTGTGAGTTGAAGGCCCAGTCTGTTAGACAAAGGATAGCCAGGGCTGTTACACAGAGAAACTTTGTCTCAAAAAACAAAAACAACAACAACAAAAACCCACCTCATAACACATACATACATGATGAAATTTTGTCTTTTAACTTTTTTTTAGTACTCACCTTCGAACACTGGCAATGGTCTCTCTGTTTTTGAAACGACTGAAACGGGCTGTATAGTTTAGGGTTTTCATGAAAACCTCTGAAAGCTCCTGCTCATCTTCTGCACTCTCATTCTGCTGCTTTCGATGCTCCAGAAGCATGTGAACTTCAGAGTTTAGGAGTGTCTCAGCTGTTTCAAACTCTGCAAGAAGAGCAAGTATTAAACTCTTAAAAAGTGTGAATTTCAGCCGGGCGGTGGTGGCGCACGCCTTTAATCCCAGCACTCGGGAGGCAGAGGCAGGCGGATCTCTGTGAGTTCGAGGCCAGCCTGGTCTACGGCGCGAGATCCAGGAAAGGCGCAAAGCTACGCAGAGAAACCCTGTCTCGAAAAACCAAAAAAAAAAAAAAAAAAAAAAAGTGTGAATTTCTGGACTGGAGAGATGGCTCAGAGGTTAAGAGCACTGGCTGTTCTTCCAGAGGTCCTGAGTTCAATTCCCAGCAACCACATGGTGGCTCACAACCATCCGTAATGACATCTGGTGCCCTCTTCTGGCCTGTAGTCATACATGCTGTATACATAATAAATAAATAAATCTTAAAAAAAAAAAGTGTGAATTCTTAAAAAGCATGCCTTTTCCAATCCCAGCATTTGGGAGGCAGAGGCAGGATGATCTCTGAGTTTGAGGCCAGCCTGGTCTACATTAGTGAGCTGCAGGAAAAAATACACAGAGACTCAAAAACAAACACCTGTAAACAGAGGTGGAGCTTTTTGGCCCGTCCGCCTGGTCCCAAATACCTGGTAGCTGCTTCCCAAATTACCACACAGAGGCATATATTACTAATTACTTCTTATATTTAAATTAATCCATTCCATTAATCTATTTACTGACACATGATCTGTGGCTTACTGGTCCTCTGGCATCTTGCTCTGAGTCAAGGGTGCTTACTAGACAAGTAGGACAAGGTGTTTTTCTCTCTCTCCCTCTCTCTCTGTCTCACACACACAAATACACTAAAGTTATCATGAAACAAAAAAGGAAAATAAAAAAGATTAGGGAGGGGCTGTGGTGGCTCACGCCTTTAATCCCAGCACTCAGGAGGCAGAGCTAGGCGGATCTCTGTGAGTTCAAGGCCAGCCTGGTCTACAAAGTGAGTTCCAGGAAAGGCACAAAGCTACACAGAGAAACCCTGTCTTGAAAAACCAAAAAAAAAAAGTATTGTTCTTTGCTCCTAAAGAAGGAAAAACTCATTGTTTAATACCCCATCTGGTCATTTTTCTGTAGATACTTGGTTACAGATAACAGTAAGATTTTATGACAACAGTGGCTTGTTCTGGGGCTGGGGATGTAGCTCAGTTGATAAGAGTATTTGTCTAGCATGCACAAAACCTAGGTTTAATTCCTAGCACTGTGGAAGCAGAGGCAGGAGGATGGGAAGTTCAAGGTCATTCTTGCCTACTTATCTAGTTTCAGGCCAGTCTGGGATACGTTGAGTCCCTGTCTCAAAACAAAACTCACAAAAAGCACAGACTGAATCTTGGGGTCTTACTATAATGCCCAGGATAGCCTTGAACTCTTGGGCTTAAACTATTCACCTACCACAGGCTCCGAGAGTAGCAGGAGAAGGGTACTATGCCCACCTGCTGGCACACACTTATCCATCCAACAGCAGGCACCAGCCACCCCAGACTGGAATCCATCTTGCTCCCAACTGTTCTTTCTAACTCGAAAATATAAAAGGAGGGCCCAGAAACCAATGACAACAGCATCTCTGCTCAGAGACAATGGTAAGAGTATGCACACTCCTGCCCTACAGACTTTGAAACGCTTTTGACTAGCACTATGATGGGGCCATAGCTCAGCTTCTGTCAGCTGCCAATTTAGAAATAAGACCTCTGCTCCAGAGTCAAGAGTGATGGCACATGCCCTTAATTCCAGCACTTGGGAGGATGGGACAGGAATGTGACAAGTTGGAGGACAGCCTAGGATACATAAGAAGACACTCAAAAAACAAAACCGCCTGTGTGGTGACGCACGCCTTTGATTTGAGGTCACAAGGCAGAGGCTGGCTGATCTCAGTGAGTTCAGGGCCAGCCTGGTCTACAATATAAATTGTAGGCCAGCCAGGGCTACACGTGAGACACTGTTTCAAACAATAAACAGCAACAAAACGATAACTAGTGGCACTACAAGAGTAGGGTATATGGATGTCCACGATTCCAAACACCCGAGCGTGGAATCTATTAAGAAGGACCTTCCTCCAAGGAATTAACCAAACTGCGCAAGGGTTCATTTGTGCCATGCTGACCAATCCCTTGCGCGTGTCAGGGCCAGGGCTAACGAGGGAGCGAATAACGACTGTAACTCAAGGACCATGTCACCTCCGAGTCGAGCTGTCCCGGGTCTCACCTTTGGGAAAGATGAGCTGAGAGGCGTCTTCTTCTACGTCGCCAGCCCGCGGATCGCTGCCGCCCGCCGCCATTGCTTTAGGAAGGACTGCCGCAGAAGCCGCCGGATCAAGGAAGCCGAGAGGGCGGGCCAGGAAAAGAACCAATCAGGCTCAGGGGCGGGGCCAGGTGGAAGGGGCGGGCCCTGAGGGAGCTGCGCAGACCCGGAGCGGAAGCAGCGGGAGGAACCGCGCGAGGGGGACTCAGGTCGCAGTCCTGCTGGCTCCCGGTCGTTAGAGGGGGTTCTCTACTGCCCGGCTTGGAGATAAACTTATTTTCTGCATTACGCCCTTGCCGTGGGACCTGGGACTTTCAATAAGCCTTTTCGGGAGAAAAGGATTAAGTGACGTGCAGGAATGAACTAAGTGAGTGACTGACCCAAGGAATGGCCTAGGGTGGGACGCTGGGTAGGTGACTAGAGAAACATACTGGAATGTCTTTCAATGATTTGATTATGTAAAGAGAAAATTTATTAACCCCGATGTGTTAGTCCTGTAGTAAACTACTGGGCAAGAGGATAAGGAGTTGGAGAGCGGTGTGTAGCGGCAGATGCCTTTAATCCCAGCAGTTAGGAGGCAGAGGCAAGAGGATCTTGGAGTTCAAGTACAGCCTCATTTACATAGTAATAGTTCCAGAATAGCCAGGGCTACAGAGTGAGATCCTGTCTCAAACAAAACAAACAAGCAAACAAACAAAAACAACGTTAAAGAAGAGCCTTAGTTATAATAGCAAACTCCATGATTCCATGCCAATTTAGGTTACTATCATCCTGTTGCAAAACTGGGTGGGGTTAGGATTAAATTGTTTCTAGTGGCCGGGCGGGTGGTGGCACACGCCTTTAATCCCAGCACTCGGGAGGCAGAGGCAGGCGGATCCCTGTGAGTTCCAGGCCAGCCTAGTCTATAGAGCGAGATCCAGGACAGGCGCCAAAACTACACAGAGGGTTAAATTGTTCCTCATGGCCGGGCGGGTGATGGCACATGCCTTTAATCCCAGCGCTGCACGCCTTTAATTCCAGCACTCGGGAGGCAGAGCGAGATCCAGGTTAGGCTCCAAAACTACACAGAGAAACCGTGTCTTGAAAAAAGCAAACAAACAAATCTATTTTTAAAAAAGTGGGAACTGGAATTGGGCAGATGGTTAGTCACTAAAGTGTTTGCCTCGCAAGCATGATGACCCAAATTCCATCTGAAAGAGTTTAGTAGCCGGGTGGTGGTGGAGCATGCCTTTAATCCCAGCACTGGGGAGGCAGAGGCAGGTGGATCTCTGTGAGTTTGAGGGCTACAGAGTGAGTTCCAGGAAAGGCGCCAAAGCTACACAGAGAAACCCTGTCTTTTTTTTTTTTTTTTCTTCGAGACAGGGTTTCTCTGTGTAGCTTTGCGCCTTTCCTGGAACTCACTTGGTAGCCCAGGCTGGCCTCGAACTCACAGAGATCCGCCTGGCTCTGTCTCCCGAGTGCTGGGATTAAAAGCGTGCACCACCACCGCCCAGCGTAACCCTGTCTTGAAAAACAAAACAAAATTCCCAGGATCTGGTTTCATCTGTATTTTAGGTCTTCTGAGCCTGTGTAGCCTCTGACTCATCAACAGTAGATAGCAGCTGTCTGATAAGGTTTGCATGAATTCTGCTGTAGACTTAGAGCCACATAAAATATGATCTTGCCGGGCGGTGGTGGCGCACGCCTTTAATCCCAGCACTCGGGAGGCAGAGGCAGGCGGATCTCTGTGGTTCGAGGCCAGCCTGGGCTACCAAGTGAGTTCCAGGAGAGGCGCAAAGCTACACAGAGAAACCCTGTCTCGAAAAACCAAAAAAAAAAAGAAAAAAAAAAAATATGATCTTGATGCTGAGGGTATAGCTCAGTAGAGTGCTTGCCTGTCATGCATGAATCCCTGAGTTCTGACCCGAGCACCTCATAAAAGTGGGGTGGTGTGTGCACACCTGTAATCCCAGCAGATTTTAGCTATACAGTGATTTCAAGGTCAGTTTAGGATACATGAGAACTTGCCACCCGTCAAAAGGGGGAGGGCATAGAACTTGAAGGGTCGTGTTGGCACTTTTCAGTGGTACAACTGTTTATGAGTTGGCCACGCTCCAGTCAGTAACCCTAGTAATCTTACTTTGCCAAGCTGGACTTACTTGCTCTGTCTGCAACTTCAGGAAGCTTATCTTGACTTGAAACACAAGCCTCCCTCTACACGTCCAGGTTCAAAAACAGTGGTTCTCAACCTGTGTATGGGTCACATCCCTTTGACAAACATCTCCAAAAATTTTTACATTGGGATTCATGATTCATAACAGTAGCAAAATTATAGTTATGAATAGCAACGAAAATAATTTTATGGTTGGGGGGTGTCACCACAACAAGGAACTATATTAAAGGGTCACAGCATTGGGAAGGTTGAGAACCACTGTTCTGATGGGTTTGACACTTGCCCATAATCCCACTTTTTATAAAGCTCTGATGACAATTCAGATGGTTGGAGAGCAATAACACTGTGTACTGGACCTTGGTTAAGGAACTTCCAACAGGCTAGGGCTGAAGAGACGGTTCAGCGGTTTAGAACCCTTGCTACACAATAAGCCTAGAGTTTGAATCCCATTTAACAAGCCAGGAGACAGGGTCTTATGGCATAGCCCTGGCTGACTCTCCAGCTAGGCTGGCCTTGAACTCAAAAAGATCTGCCTGTCTCTGCCCTTCTGAGTGCCAGGATTACAAGCATGGGTGTTTTGCCTGCATATACATGTCTGTGTATTATGTGTGCGCACAGTATCTAAGGAAGCTAGGAGAGTGGGTCACATCCCCTGGAACTGGATTACAGATGTTGTTAGCTGTCATGTGGCATGTGGGTGCTGTAAACCAAATCCAGATCCTCTGAAAATATGTGCTGTTATCCACTGAGCCATTTCTCCAGCCCAGACTTTTGTTGTTTTGCTTTACTCTGTAGCCTAGGCTTGCCTGGCATTCACAATGTTGTCTTGACTAGCTCTAAATTCACAGCGATCATTCTGCCTCCTGAGATTATAGAGGCCTATGTTACTATATCAAAGTTGTGTGTGTGTGTGTGTGTGTGTGTAAAACAGAGGCTGCCTTGGAACTCTTTGTAGACCAGGCTGGCCTCGAACTCACAAGAGATCCGCCTGCCTCTGCCTCCAAATGATGGGATTAAAGATGTGTGCCACCACACCTAGATTGTTCTTTTTTCAGATTTATTATGTATAGTGTTCTGCCTGCATGTTCACTTGCAGGTCAGAAGAGGGCACCATATCTCATTCCGGATGGTTGTGAGCCACCATATATATGGTTGCTAGGAATTGAACTCAGAACTCTGGAAGAGCAGTCAGTGTTCTTAACCTCTGAGCCACCTCTCCAGCCCCTGTTGTTCTTGAGCTAAGATTTCATTCTGTAGTCCACCCTTGCTTTCAACTCTTGGCCATCTTCCTATAGTCTCCCAAATGCTGGGATTACAGGCATGAGCTACCATGCCTAGTTTTGCGAAGAGCTTTAAAGTATCTTATCACCCCTATTCTCAGCAAGAATTAGCACCGTTGACCTCACCAAGAGAAGGATGGCCAATTTTTTTTTAATCACACATTTACTTAAGCACCTCTAATCCCAAATAATAGAAATCTTTAAATCACTTATTTTTGTGTGCATGTATATGCACCAGGCACATGTGTAAAGGCAGAGGACAGTTTGCTAGAGCTCTCTCCTTCAACTGTATTATATCCCAGGGGTAGAACTCTGGCAAGCACCTTCATCTGCTAAGGCATCCATCTCATCTATTTTTTTTTTTTTTAAAAGAAACAGGGCCTTTCACTGTGTAGTCCCCTAGAGTGTTGGGATTGAAGGATGGCTCCACCATACCCAGCTCATAGGGATCTTTTTACTAGGTAATAATCTCACTCAGTATGGTAGTGCACTTTTAATTCCAGCACTTGGGAGGCAGGCAGATCTCTTATGAGGACCATCAACAAAGAAACAAGGTAACTGCTAATCACAGTTTCAGATTTCAAGTCACCTGGTTACAAAGAGGCAGAAGACAATTTGTATCCATTATGATTTATTCTCTACAATACTTCATTCAAGACTTTGATGACTTGTACTTAGAAGTTATATAGCCAAGAGGCAACCAAGTGTAATACAAATAATTGGTCTGAAGTCTTTGCAGTGAAGGCCATACAGTCTCTTGCTTTGAGGAAATAAAATAAAAATAAAGTAAAAACATAAAGAACACAGTTTTCTGGGCTTCAGAAATCTCAATAGAAAGTAACACCAAGTTAGTGAAATTGTAGATGTTAACATAGCGTGGAAAACAGATCTTGTGCAAAATATTAAAATTAACACCCAAGACTTCTGTATAGATGATTTTTATTATAAACAGTAAAATATATGTAACGTCTCAACTACAAACCTTTCCTGTAGAAAGGGTTTCTAACATGAGTTATTTTAACATTATGAAGCAAAAACGTTTTAAGAACCTCACAGTGGAAACAACCCAACACTGACAAACTCTAGTGATCAAAGACATTCGCTTTTAGCTCAGGAAAACAAGGACAATTCATAATTACAGAGTATGTCCTAGCTGTGGGTATGATGAGACAAGCCAACTTCCCAGACCAAAAGGCACTCACAGCTAGGGATGAAACAAATTCCAAACCAAGCCAGCAGAGTTGGGCTGGTTCTTCGATAACAGTGGGGACCTCTGTTAGTTTGAGCAGCTGAAGTCAAAGGAGACACTGGGCAGGAAACGGTCCCTTTCCTCAGTCATCACTTACGGGCCCCATACTGGCCACCCTCACCACTGCTTTGGTCAACATGTAGAAGGCAGCTCAGTTCTAGTTCAGAGCTCTACCTCCCAATGCAAAGCCCCCAGGTGGCCAATCCACACTTGCTATTTTTTTCCTCAGTCATCTGCCACACGTTCCTATGAAGTGACCATGACTGCACTTCCCAGACTTCTTCCTAAATAGGCTCTGGTCAGGACAGACACCAATAGAGCCCATTTCTTCTGAGCCAAATAGTTTCCTTGCCTGCCTCCCTAGCCCTCTTGACAAGGCGAGAGGAACCTGAACATTTCCACTGCTGGCCTTGTGTGGGAACACGAGGGATGTGCAGGGAGTAAGGCTTCTTCACTCTGAAAGCACTGGCCCACAGCATGGGGAGGCTGGGCGTGGCCAGCCCCTTTCCTGTTCATTATCCCCCACCTTCTTGGATCTTAAATTTTTCTGTTCATTTTCTTAAATGGCAGGTATTCTACCCCACCCTCGATAAAATAAAACACATACTATACACCGGGGCAGACAGATAGGGCAACGTTTCTACAAGAAAAACAGGCTTGAGGAGCATGGCACTGTAGATGCTTGCATGACCAGTCTCACTGTGAGTGCTCAGGGGTGAAGTTTAGCACCATTTTTTTTTGCATTTTGCTTTAAATCTTTAGAAATTAAACACAACTCTGAACATAGAACGCCTGAACAGTAATGAGTGTAGCCCTATGTATCAATACTGTTGTACAAATTGCAGGTGGGTGGCTCAGTCCAGAACTGACCACCCTGGCATCACTATCAATCCATGGCACCTGAGAGCACCTGCTGTCACACTCGTCTATGGCATCACCTTCATTACCCTCAGCAGCAAGAAACCATGAGACCCCTGCATCTTTCCGTCTGTGAAAGAACCAAACCTGGCAGTAAGGGGCATATATCCTGGGCATTCCAGTGTAATCAGCACCTCCCTCATTCCTTCCAGGTCCTTGATCACTCCTGGCACAACTGCCCTGCCCTGTTTAAAGAAAAAAAAAAAAAAAATCCCAGGAACTTGAGGGTGACGCCTAGAATCACACAAGAAGTACTCCTACTTCCCTTCCTCCAGTCCTGGCAGAAGAAACTCTTTTGACTTGAATATTTGCCCATTTTGGAAAGCCACACCATCACATCAATTCTGAAAAAGAAATCAAACACGTATTCACTGACTCGAGGCCTGATCTGCCTCATGAATTCTGAGTTGCTGAAAGTCATGCCGCCATCCTCAGGAGCCTTGCTTCCAGCTGGCCGTCTCTTCCTGTGAGTTGCCTGAGCAGTGCCTTTGAGACAGCTTTCAGAGCGCCTCCTCCCTAGTCTCCTAGTACTATACATTGCCACCAATGAGTGAACATTTGCTGACAGCTATTTTGGAATGAGTAAAGATGGACAAGGGAATGTGAAGGGTTTCAATGAGCAACACGAGCAATTGACATTTACACTGGTGAGGTGAAGAGTCCCAGTGTGGTAGGCAAGTTAAAGGTTCACATGTTTTATTACACAGCTTTGTTCTAGAGTCCTACTGAGGACTGATAATATCAAGTCTTCCCACTTCTGCAGGCAAATCAGAAAAAAGAACCCCCCTACTTAAAGGTTCCTCAGGATGTTTGCCTGTGAAGAAAACCAGCTCAGAGACCCTGGAAACTCTCCTGTAACAGTATGTCCTAAAGCCCAACCCAACCACCTGTTTGCATGTCTGTGCTTCTGAGAACCTAGATGCAGCTACATAGGCACTGCTACCAGAAGAGGCTGAGGTAGCCGGTGGTGAGGAAGAGATCGCTCCTTTCACACCTGCTTATGACGATGACATCAGGACCTCTATGGGCATCTCCATTCCACTCCTCAGCAGGCTATGCCACAGAGCTCTGTTCAACACCAGGAGATTCAATGCAGGAAGAGTATCAGAAAGTCCAGCTGAGAGCCAGGTGAGCATGAAAACCTCCACAGCTTACTGCACAATGCAAAGCCATCCAATAGGACTTCTGATCTTGGTGCAGTTCTCCTGTTCAGGACTCACAGGGGCTCATGGCACCCACATTCAACCCTAACATGGTGTTCAATTATGAAGCATGGAGGTTGTGATCAACTCTTGGTACACAATAAACTGGAAGTTTAAAAAAAGGAATTTAAAACAACCTATAAGTGGTTCATGTTGGTCTCCGTTGCCCAGACTGCCAGGAGTACACCTAATTGGTCTGGTGGGCTGTGGGGGATTGCGGAGGAAGCCTCCATGGATCATCAGTTCCAGTTTTCAGTGTGCGGTCACCACACATGTGGGAAATCACCAGACAGCGGTCTTCTGAACCCACACAGCCATTCTCACTGGTTATTAGGGAGCCCTGATCGAACAGAACCCCAGATTGAGGAAAGGCTGATATAAGGCTTGGGCCCCTCGTGTTCTCTTGCATTCAGTGTAACCCCACACCCTCCAGTCAGCAGGAGGCAGACTCGGCAACGGAAGCTAGCATCATAAAATGGTGCAGTAATAGAAGTAACTGGACCAGGAAGAGGAGGCATCTGCTCCAATGATGTCATAGCCATTGGTGGCCACAGAGGGGTGGGACTGGTCATGTAGCCGTGTGTCAGGAGTAATGATTGTAGAGGGGCGGGGCATGAAGAGTGCCATTCTGGAAACAGTGTTGTCGAGAAGCAATATACTCTGCATAACTGATTGTCACCTTCTCACTTCGATACCTGTATGAGGAAACAGGCAAAGGTATTAGGAACCCCAAATATCTCAGTGAAGAGTCACTAGTAGAGAAAACAAAAGCTTATCCCACAGTTTCAAAGAATACAATGGAAGACCAGGAGCGATCTTACTTACAGAAAATGAAAAGACGGCACAAGAAAATGATGCTGTTATTACAAATGAACAAGATGAAAAAGCACAATCACAGTTCACCCCTGAGAATGTATCTCAGCACATCCCACCTCAAAACGCTACATATGCTTATCAACAGGCTGCTGGTAAGCAATCTGCTACCAGGATCTGGATGAGGAATTTCCAAGTCAAATTACACGGGTGGCAGATTGGAAGATGGCTGCACCAAAACCCAGTGTAAACTGCGTTATCTACGTTCAGGATAAAATGAGATAAATTTGACAGAAATGCAACCTCAATTGGTAGAAGAGCAACAAACAAGTTATAACTAAAAGGGGCATAGATACCTAATTCTGGGTCAAATTCTGATGAAGCAGGTTAATGGATCCTTGGCTATAGGAAGATCTCAATCCCCAGATGAATATGCCATATCACAGGGTCATCAGAACAGAATTCATAGCACTTTGGCTTTGCTCTGGAAAGAGCCATGAGTCAGGATGCAAAGCATGGGTGTTACAAACCTATGGAGCCTACTACAGAGCACAGGAGCTGGGTGACAATCCTTACCCAGAGCCATCTCTTTCCCACTGTAATCACTCCTCCACTGCAAGGTGGTTATTCCTGAATTTTGACAGGGAAATGGCTGTTCAAATAAATTGTAATAGTAATAATGCTTTGTATTTGCAGTGTTTTTATTTTTAACTATTATTTTATTTATTTATTAAATTTTTGGTGCTAGAGATGGAACCTAGGGCCTTGAGCATGCTATGGATTAAGCTCTACTACTGAGCTGCAGTCCTAGCCCCTTGATTTTTTGAATTGAATGCATTAAAAAACACTGGGTTATCTTCCAAACAGACCTGTGAGGCTAGCATACGATGACTCAGCATTTTGTAGATGAGGGTCCTAGCAAAGGCCCACCAAAGCTAACTTTTCTTTGTTCCCAGCATCAGCAGGAAGGGGTAAAACACTGACATTCACTGAACATCTCCAGTGTGTTGCCCTGGCTCTTGCCTGGAAACTCTACATCTTACCTTACCACATCTTAAATAAAGCCTGAAGGAATTACGACTCACATCTTACAGACAGAAAACAGTTCTGGGAGATGGACTAACTGGCCCAGGTACATAGCTCATAAATAAGTGAGCCTGGGATACAGACCCACGTCACTGTGTTCCGTACAACTAGCCAGCTTCCTGCAGAAGTACCCAACTAGGATCCTTAGTTCCTTGTAGATGTCTTGGATATCCTTTATTCCCTGCCATCTGACTGTGGTGACCAGGAGGAAGCAGCTCAAGTGACCCTGGATTTACATTCCTGGAGCCCTTACCTCTCAACTCCACCCTCCTCCCCCTTGACCTTATGACCACATGGGGCTGACAGGCCGAACCCTGCTTCAACTCTGTTACACTGACTGGAGAGACAGAACAGCCGGGAAATCTCCACTTCTGCAGCCATTGCTTCCTCAGAGCTCATATCTCTCACAAACTTCTTTGGCTTAGGGGTATAAACAGTTTTCTTCCCTTCCCACCAGATACCCTATATTCAACCCCATTAAAGAAAAGCTAACAAGAAGAGCAGGACAGCTGCTTACCTGGTGAGTTTGATTGATTTTCTGAATTCACTGGTAATTGGAGCCTTAAAGCCACCTTTCCTGAGCAAGGAGTCTATTGTCTGGATCTGATCCCAGTCTGAGGAGAACAGAAGCCACAATGAGGTCAGCATACAGTAGAAGCAGGGGGGCAGCATGCTCCAGTATGATCAGTGTAGAAGACAAATGGGATTCAAGAAACAGCAGAGTGTGCCGGGGCAAAGGAAGCCCTGGGCCATGGTCCCACATACTGGAAGCCCATCAGCCTCCCCAACAGTCCAGCAAAGACCCTGAGACATGACATTATAACTCAGTATGCCATGATGCTGTCCCCAACTTTCCTGCTCTTTCACGGTTCCTACAAGGTGTTTCCAAGTATATTTCTGAAGCTCAGGCTGCTCTATGGGAAGACAGGGTCTCACTATATTGCCTAGGTTGGTTTTTTGGTTTTTGTTTTTAAAGGCATTATTTTACCTTTTATTTGTGTTAGGTGTATGTTGGGGGCAGTATGCACATATGAGGCCAGAAGATAGTGCTGAAGCCCCTGAAACTGAGTTACAAGTAGTTGTGATGGGTGCTCCCATGGGTGATGGGAACCAAACCTAGGTCTTCTGCAAGAGCAGTAAGAAGCACTCTTTGTTTGGAGACGGGGTCTCTCTGTGTAACAGCCCTGGTTATCTCAGAGCTCACTATGAACCCAGAGACAGATCTGCTCTGCCTCCCAAGTGTTGGGATTAAAGGTGTACATCACCATTTCCTGGCTTTTTTGGTTGTTGTTATTTAATTTATTATTATTTTTTAATGTGCATTAGTGTTTTGCCTGCATATATGTCTGTGCGAGGGTGCCAGATCCCCTGGAACTGAAGTTACAGAAAGTTGTGAGCTGCCATGTGGGTGCTGGAAATTGAACCCAGATTCTCTGAAAGAGCAGCTAAAGCTCTTAACCACTGAGCCATCTCTCCAGCCCCAGTAAGCAATTTTCTTAACTCTGAGTCATCTCTCTAACCCCAGCTAAGCTGACCTTGAACTAAAAGCCTCAAGTAATTTCTCAGCCTCCTGTGCAGATGGGACTATAGGCATGTGACACTATAAAAAGAGGGGAATTTCCTTTACAATTTTTAAATTTTTAAATGTGTGTGTGTGTGTGTGTGTGTGTGTGTCTATATGCACCTGAATGCAGATGCCCCAGAGGCCAGAAGCAAAGGAACCCTTGGAGCTGAAGTTGTAGGCAGACATCAGTATTTCTTCCAGATTGGTATGACAGAGAACTGATAACAGTAAGGAAATCATCTCCTTAGTAAAGACATAAAAGTTCTTCACCTCTGTACTGTTGATTCTCTCGTTACTTTTTTCTTTTTTGATACATGGTCTTATTATGTATATGTCCCAGCTTAGGCTCAAAACCAAGAGGCAATCCTTCTACTTTGGCCTCACGGGTCAGGATATGAGTGCCCCACGTGGCCCACCTCAGTCTTACTGTATGTCTCTGTGTGTGCCTGTATGTGGGTATGTGCACATAAACACACAGTACAGGTGCCCCTGGAGCCAGAGTTAACCGCAACTGTGAGCTACCGAAGTTGATTGCTAGGAACCAAACTTTGGTCCTCTGCAAGAGTAGTACACAT